TGGCCGTGGAACACCGCGACCATACGTTTTTCATCAATTAATGCCAGCTGCTCCAAACGAGTTTTAACCCATTCACTATCTTCAATTTCTGCTTCGACAATCACTCGTAGCGAAGGGATTTCTACCTCGGCGGGTATGACAACTTCAGTCCCATAGACCAGCAAATAAAGAGTTGCTCCTACTGATGTGCGTACTGTGGTACGATATCCCATCAATGCGAAAGGCAACTTTTCGTGCCATTGCCTCGAGCTTTGAATCATTTTCCTTAAGATCTTCTTAATGTTCTTGTTAGCTGCTTCGATGGCACCATTAGCTTTGGGCCGGTAAGGAGTGGAGTTTCTATGTGTTATCTTGAATTGTTCACATATCTCTCCCATCAGCCGACTGTTTAGATTAGCTGCGTTGTCTGTAATGATGGTAGCGGGAATCCCAAAACGATAAATTTTGTTGTCCACACATCTCAGCAAATTAAGATCTGGAGTCTTTTTATACAAAGTATCACCACTCAAAAAGAAATTGCTTGCATGCCATCAGATGGTTTTCTTTTGTTCCCCGGTGGCTTGCTCGGGATACTCCTGTGTTTTTATGAATCTCTTGATTTCATAATACCAAGGTTGTGTGCTAGACTCTGCTTCGGCCACATTACAATACCCATGCCTTTCTTTGATTTGGATTTCCAGAGGATCGATGTAGGCATTTTCGGGGTAAGGCAACATGGAAGCCAAGGTGGCGAGTGCGTTTGCTAGCTCATTTTGACAGTGAGGAATGTACCTAAATTGTACCGACTTGAACCATTTGCTGAGGTCTTCCACATGCTGTCTGTATGGGATGAGCTTAACGTCTTTTGTTTCCCAGTCTCCTTGAGCCTGTCGGATGATCAGATCAGAATCTCCCATGATTAGCAATTCCTCAACATCTTGGTTAATGGCCATGTTCATGCCCATGATGCAAGCCTCATATTCGGCTGTATTATTGGTGCAGAAGAAACGGAGCCTGGCGGTAGCTGGATAATGCTGCCCTGTGGGTGAGATTATAATTGCCCCAATCCCTACGCCTTTTGCGTTTACTACTCCGTCGAAGAACATTTTCCAGACGGGGATATCTTCAGCTGTTACTTCCACCGAATTGACTTCTTCATCAGGGAAATAGGTGTTTAGAGGCTGATATTCATCATCAACAGGATTCTCAGCCAGATGATCTGCCAATGCTTGAGCCTTCATTGTAGTACGAGTGACATAAACTATGTCGAACTGGGTGAGTAAGATTTGCCATTTGGCCAGTCGCCCTGTGGGCATTGGTTTTTGGAATATGTACCTCAGTGGATCCAGCCTAGTTATGAGGTAAGTAGTATGAGCTTGCAGATAATGCCTTAACTTCTGAGCCACCCACGTCAAGGCACAACAAGTTCTTTCTAGCAATGTGTTCTTGGCCTCGTAACTGGTAAACTTTTTGCTCAGATAATAAATGGCTTGCTCTTTCTTTCCCGTGGCATCACGCTGCCTGAGAATACAACCAAAAGAGCCTTCTAAGACTGTTAGATAGAGAAATAATGGCCTTCCTGGTTCTGGCGGAACCAAAACTGGTGGATTGGACAAGTATTGTTTGACTCTGTCAAAAGCTTCTTGACACTCAACAGTCCATTTAACTGCCGCATCCTTTTTCAGCAGCTTGAATATGGGCTCGCATGTGGAAGTCAATTGGGCGATGAATCGGCTGATCTAATTCAAACTTCCCAAAAGACTCATTACATCCTCTTTGGTCCCTGGCGGAGGTAGCTCTCGAGTGGATTTTATCTTGGTCGGAATCAACTCGATACCTCTTCGGCTGACGATGAACCCTAGAAGTTTGCCTGATGGTACCCCAAATGCACATTTCACTGGATTCAATTTCAAATCGTATTTGCGAAGCCTTTCGAAGAACTTTCTCAAGTCCTTTACATGATCTCCCTGAGTTTTGGACTTGATAATCACATCATCCACATATACCTCTATTTCTCGATGCATCATGTCGTGAAAGATGGTGGTCATGGCCCTCATGTATGTTGCCCCGGCATTTTTCAATCCAAAAGGCATAACTCTGTAACAATAGGTTCCCCAAGGTGTGCTAAAGGCGGTTTTCTCAGCATCTTCCTCATCCATCAACACTTGGTGGTAACCTGCGTAGTAGTCTACAAAGGACTGAATTTCATGCTTGGCACAGTTATCGACAAGGATGTGGATGTTGGGTAGAGGGAAGTTGTCCTTGGGACTCGCCTTTTTTAAATCTCTGTAATCCACGCACACTCGAGTTTTTCCGTCTTTCTTCGGTACCGGGACCATATTGGCCAACCATGTGGTGTACCGGACCACTCGGATTACCCCCGCCTCTAGCTGTTTTGTAATCTCCTCTTTGATTTTATCGCTGACATCAGGCTTGAACTTTCTCTATTTTTGTTGGACCGGAGAGTATTCAGGGTATGTGGGCAACTTATGAACCACCAGATCCGTACTCAATCCAGGCATATCATCATAAGACCAAGAAAATACATCTTTAAATTCCAAAAGGAGTTGAATGAATGAATCCCGCATTTCTTTATTCACGTGGATGCTTATTTTAGTTTCTTTGATTTCATCTGGATTGCCCAAGTTAATCTGTTCAGTATCGTTTAAGTTTGGCTTAGGTTTGTTAAAAATGTTCCAACTCTCGGTTGATTTCCATAAAAGCCTCTTCTTCATCATATTCCAGTTCTTGGTTCATTATCTCACAAATGGGCAACATGTTTGGGTCGTGGCATGAAGTCCGCGAGCATGTTGTTTTATTTAAAGCCGCACTATTGGGACGGGCCTCCCGCCGGACTGGGAAAGACGTGGCCTTCTAGTTTTGCAGCTTGGCATGCGGTCCCATATAGAGCACTTCAGCAGTGCTTGAGCCTTCCCCCAGCTGGACCATGTTGGCTTCATATAATAATTCCCTCATGGCTCCACATATTTCATCAATCTCTTATGCTGTGAAGGTTTCTTCTTCCTCTTCCTCACTGTACTTTGGTTTTACAAATGTTTTGTACAAGTGGGGTAGGGGTTGTGGCAAAGCCCATCCATGACGCTTTTTGCGATTGGCCCAAGTGAAATCTTCTGATGTTAGATGAAAGCCTAACCCAAAGAACTTTTCTGCGGCAGGTAAAGTGACCGGCTCAGTTATGCCTTGTATGGAGCTTCCAAGTCCCTTGCCTGGCTTAAAACCTTGGCGCGTCATCTCCCTTGCCACCATGATTAAAGCATTTGAGAGGAAAGGCCGGGGGAGTGGCTTGCCTTCTTTGTGTTGATCGGCTACCACGATTTCAAAAGCTTGGTAGACTATGTGCTCACTTCCCTCCTTGGCTTCGAGGCGGGGAACAGAGGGGTCCTGGTAAATTGACTGTTCGTCTTCTCCATGAACTACAATATCCTGGTTTTTATGTTCGAACATCAACATTTGGTGCAGAGTAGAAGGCACCGCTCCTGCTGCGTGAATCCACGGTCTTCCTAAGAGGTAGTTATAGGATGTGTCCATGTCCAATACCTGAAACGTCACTTCAAAGTAGACTGGACCAATAGTCAGCACTAAGTCAATTTCCCCTATGGTGTCTCTCTTGATTCCATCAAAGGCTCAGACACACACGTTTTTAGGACGGATCCTCTCTGTCCCAATCTCCATTCTCTACAACGTAGACAGTGGGCATATATCTACCCCAGAGCCTCCGTCTATCATTACTCTTTTGACATAATAGCCCTCGCAATTGACAGTGAGGTGCAAGGCTTTGTTGTGGGCGGCTCCCTCAAGAGGTAAGTCATTCTTGATGAACGTAACCTGATTAATGGCAAAGAATCTCTCCGCCATCTTCTCTAGTTGCTCCACGGAGGTCCCAGCCGGTACGTACGCTTCGTTTAGAGTTTTGGCCAACACCTGCTGGTGCTCGGGAGATTTCATCAAGAGTGACAATAAAGAGACCTGCTCAGGAGACTTTCGGAGCTGGTCCACTACCTCGTATTCTGGCTTTTTTATTTTTTTAAAGAAGGCTGCTGCCTCTTCAGCATTTACTGGCCTCTTAGTTGGAAATCGCCGTTTGGTAGCAGCGTTTACCTCCTCCATATCTGAGTTTTGTGGGATAGCCTTTTTGAGTTTCCCCGATAATCTCTTTGCCCTTGTATGTAACTATGGTTTCTTGGTAATTCCAAGGGACTACCGAAGGGTTTGTCATGGGCTTCTGAGGTGCGCGACCGATTACCACGGGCTTATTCAGCACCGGTGGTTTAATCGATCCCCATACCACATAGGCTTTCTTGGGTAAAAACATGGTTTTTTTCAGCTCGAACCTTCTTGGGGGACTCAAAGTGGGCTGTTTTTCTTGACGCCCTTGTGGGATGTAAAGTATTGTTTCCTTGGTAGGGTCGTCTCAGTTTTGACTTCAGACTTCTTCTATGCTCTTGGATGCTTGGCTTCAACTGTTTCGTTTTCTTCGTTCTTCTTGGGGGTAACTTTTGGTTTTCTGTCTGCCTCAGTGATGGCTATTATGGCTTTCAAGGTAGGATCAAATTCTTTGTCCTCACAAATCATTCAAATGACTGGCCCATTGTTGTGAGCCGGCAACAAGTTATTGGTTACGTTTGGGACCTCTTCATCTCTTAGTACTATTTTCTTTTGTACTATCAAATCCTCCACCGCTTGTTTCAGAGTCCAGCAGTTTTCGGTGTCATGGCCTTCTGCCCCGGAGTGGTAAGCACAACGTACGCCCCTTTGATATGAAGGTGACTCGGGGTTTTGTCTGTTCGGGGGCACGGGCTGCAGGAGACCCATGTGGACCAACTTTGGGAATAGGATGGCATAAGATTCTCCTATTAGAGTAAAGTTCTGTCTCTTGTGTGGTTCCCTGGGACGGTAATTATTTTGTGGAAGGAGGGGAATACAGTGATTCTGAGGAGGCTGATTTCTTGGGGCTTGGTTTCTGTTGCCCTGTTGTTGTGGTCGAGCAAAGGGCTGGGCATTCATGACTGCATAGGGTTGAGGAACATAGTGCATGTCTTGGTGGGGATAGTATTAAGATGCCTTTTCTGAGAATGCAAGTCTGTGAGCATGATGTTTCTCATCCCGGAGGCTGCCATGGACACTTCCTCTTTCTTCTTGTTTCTTGGGATCCCTCCCGCCCCGCCTTGTATGGCCTGGGAGGTTGCTCTTATGGTGGATTGACTCAGAATTCTCCATGTCTTGAGGCTATTCTCTACCATCTCACCAATCTTAATTGCTTCTGCAAAGGGTTTGCCCATTGCTGACATCATATTTTGAAAATAATCTACCTCCTGCGCTTGTAGGAAAACTGTTACAATCTCCGTCTCGTCCATGGGTGGCTTTACTCTCGACGCTTGCTCGCGCCACTTAACAACATATTCTCTGAAGCTTTCTGAAGGTTTCTTTTTCAAGTTGGCTAAGGAGTTCCTGTCCGGGGAAATATCAATGTTATACTGGAATTGCCTTACGAAATCCCGGGCGAGGGCATCCCAGATATGCCATCGGGTAATATCCTGGTCCATGTACCATTCAGAAGCAATGCCCACTAAGCTCTCCCCAAAATATGCCATCAGGAGTTCTTCCTTCCCACCGGCTCCACGCAGTTAATTGAAATACTTTTTCAAATGAGCAATGGGGTCGCCTTGGCCATCGTATTTTTCAAACTTCGACGTTTTGAACCCCAAAGGGAGTTGTATGTGTGGGAACATGCATAGGTCTGAGTAAGATACACTGTTCTGTCCACTTAATCCTTGCATGTTTTTCAGACTTTATTCGAGACTCTTCATTCTTCGTGTTATTTCATCTTGTTCGGGTGTTTTAGGGGTTTTCTCTTGCACAGGTGTTAGTTCGTATGCTGGCTGAGGGTAATTGTATGTGGGGTATGGGGGAGGCTCGATTTGGTAGTTGGGAGTTTGGAATGTAAAAGCTGTGGGGTCAAAAATGGGCCTCGGTACCGCAGGCTGTGTGGTAGCTGCGCACGGAGGGGTCGTAAAAATGTTGGGAACTGGACCAGATGTGAACATCGGAGGGCGGGTTTTAGAGGGCGCTCGGAAAAAGTTGGTTGATATGGTGGGCTGACCCAGGAGGATATTTGGGTGACTGATAGGGATGGTGGAGGTACCCCCTGACCTTGGAAAAAGCTCGGGAAATCCAGGGATAACACTTGGAGGTTCCTTCCCATTTGTCCAAGTGTCCCACATCTCCATAAATCGGAATCGAAAGATCTTATTCTCTTCAGCCGCCGTAGATTCGGAGGCTGGGATTCCCGTAATTGGGTTGTCCTCTGGGATAGGGACTGCTGGTAGAGTCATTTCGATCGACATTTCTGCGCTCCCTTTTGATCTAGTAAAGTATCTGTGAGAAGCCAGCTTACCGCAAACCAATCACTGTTCTTGAAACACCAGGACTAGACACTATAGTATCAAATGGTTAGGTCGGGACAGATAACAAACAAGAAATCACACGTTGGATATGATGCACCTATGCAGTTAACGGGTTCCTATATGCTTGCAATGGTCGAATGTGTCATCCCGACATTTATTCTGAATTTCCTTTTGTTTCCTACTTCTTATTACTTGTTAGCTTTCCCTTTTTAAGAATACGGTCGAATCCTATAGATATTGCCTACGTATCATGACATTGCATGAATTAGACCGAGCGTTGTTCATGGAAAAATGTTATGTACACAACAAAATATTTTTGGGATTTTCAATTTTTATAAATACATAAACTTTGATTACAAAGGCTAACCAAATGAAAGGCAAGTACCAAACTTACAGACTCGGAAGGAGCGTAAAAGAACATACAGACAGAATCTTTTAAAAATACAAATTTATGAGTACATTAAAACTTCAAGTGTTTTTGGAGCTTGCGGGGCATCGTCCGGCCTTGCCGCGGGCTTGCGCGCTAAAATTCCCTGGAGGTAGTGGAGATCTTCCATCGCTTTACGGACAAATGTCATGGCAGCGGCAAAGAACATAGATTTTGTCAACTCTTCACAGTGGTTGCACTTTGTGGTATTATATTCTGCGATTGCCCGCACCCTTTCCCTGATAATCCCTTTTTCTTGCAGCAGATGCCCAATTTGCTTGGCCCGTGCTTCTAAAGTTCGGTCGGCTACTTGATTCAGCTTTTGGATTTGCCACAAATCCCTTTCTAGTCCTGCTATTACCGCATGGCAATGCTCTCTTTCGGCTTTGAAATCCCTGTCTTGTTTGGCCATTTTGTTTTCAGCTATGACGACCCTCTGTTTTAAACCGACGATCTCATGGCCACTTCCTTCTTTTAGTTGCTCCAGTATGTGGGCTAGTTCCTCTGCACTTTTAATTAATTGCTTCCGAGCCCTAGACAGCTCACCCTCCACCTTATTCAGGTCGAACCCGTATTCAGTTACTTTCCGTCCTAGGTTTTCTATGAGCTTTTCATCTTTTGTACTCCTAGGAGGATTTTCTGCGGCTGCCTTCATTTTCTGGATTTGGGCTCGTAGGGCTTCATTTTATTTAATCAATGCCTTCTTTTCTCCCTTGCTGGCTGTAGCTTGCAAAATGTTTTCAAATTGCGATTCTTGAATTTTCTTTTCCAGCCTTCCTATAGTAGCCCGGTATTCATTTTCTTTTGCTAACCAATGCCACTGCTCTTGCGATATCTCAGCAAATTCCTAGAGATGGGGTATCTTTTCCGGCCTCCCAGGCTCTATATCTCTCTTGTACCAAGCAACATACCCCGGTGCAACCTCACCTTAAGATACATCACGTACTCGAGTATCGGCTGTCAAGTATTGGCACTCACTCCATATTTGGCATACAACAGCTTCAGGGAACTGACCATTCGGGCCTATCTCAACCACATGACGGCTAATATCCTCGTCTCTAGGATCATTTGGCATCTACCCAATTGTCTTAGTACTCTATACGGCGCATAGGACTGGATGGTTCGGATGCCCATCAAAAGGAAATGAGGTCCAATGGCGGGCATATACACAACTTCGTCCACAGAGAGCCAACCGAATGTCCATTCTATTTGATTTGCAGTGATGAACCGGAAATGCGACACCTATTCTGCGACACCCTCAGGTACTTTGAACCCCTCAACTCTGTTTCCAAATTCTTCTGTGCAGCTCATTGTTGGAGACTCGTATTCATGAACCAAGGCCAGTGACATATATGCTCAATCATCCATATTTGCAGCAGCAAGTTACAACACTCGAAGAAATCTCCTCCCGCTTTACAGACAGTGAGAGCACCGAAGAGGTCGAACAAGATCATTGGAGCAAGAGTACTTTTAGCTTGGTTCATCAAAGTGCTAACGACCCCGGCTATCCATGTGTCGATGTTCTCGTCCTTTCGCGGGAATACTAAAAGACCCAAGAAAGACACCATGAACGCGAAACATTGATGCTCCTCCCACTTGAGTCGGTTACCCTTGCTATAAATAAGATTTTCAGGGTTGTAGAATCCTCCAATGTGGCCATTCCTCTGATATATAAATTGCAGGGTGCAAAAGCCAGCCGATAAGTCAGGATTGTGAACTTTTCTGCTGATGTTCAAGGAATCCAGGAATTTGTGCACAACGAGGGCTCTAGGTGCGATCAAGTATTGATGTCTCAAAGGGATTGTATGGGTCCCGATATATCCGGTCATTTCCTCTAAATCCGGGGTGAGCTCAAAGTCCGAGAAGTGGAAGACATTGTGGGTCGGGTCCCAGAAAGTAATTAAGGCCTTTATGATGTCTCCCTTGGGGTTAATTTTCAATAAACCAGTGAGGCCTCCCAGATGTGCGTTGACCCTTTTCTGCCCTGCTTCCCCGAGATCATTCCACCGTAGTTGCAACTCCAAGGGAATTTTGTTCATTATCGTGCTCATTCTGCATATTTATTAGGCGAATTAGTATTCTCAAAACATTAAAACCGACATTTTAGAAATTTATTTTAAAATCAGGACCGACTTAGCGAATACGGCCTTTCAACACTTCGGAGAGAAGGTTTTTCAGGCTGTGCTTGCTTACCAGTCAGAATAAAATGCAGAAGTGGCCATTTGCGCAAGATCAGCCTTCCGACATCTCTTGTGGTAACATTCGGCTATTACCGGCAGTAATGGTACCACTCGACTTATTTCAAAACAAGTGAATAAACTCGGACATTTGTTTTTCTTGTTTTGGCATTTTTGCAAAAAGGGGTCAGACTTGGAAAAATAATTTATCAAAACCCGAAAATATTATTGAAAAACACCCAAATTCCTTTTTTTTTTTATTTTTTGTTTTTTTGTTCTTTTTTTTGTTTTTGTTTGAAACAACCGGCATCATTTCAATGCTATTTTAAGCATTGGTTTTACAAGTGATTACCCTAGCACTGCTATTTTTCAATTTATTCTCCTTGTTCACAAGCCGGTTAACATGCGAGTCCAAGGAAAATAAATACACAAGTAGTACGTAAAATGTATCAGGATGGTCTTTTACTTTAGGGCACCTGTCTTAGACGGACCCAACCCCTGTGTTGAGTCCCCTAAGTCAAATGCATGATGCAAATAAACGTTTCTACTAGGGATCCGACATGAGGTTTCGTTATACTAAGTTTAGAACCTCGGTATAGCGTCTATACTGTGCACCCGAGCGGACAACTCGAGTCGAGGAGGGGGCTACGTACCGGGAACCAAAAGGCCATCC